TGGCGAAGAGCTGGTACGATACCATGAACATTTTTCAAATGTTTGGTGAGACTGATTTTGTAAGCGAATGTCGATGGGCATGCAGTGCACGGAAAACGTACACCTACATGTTTCTTTTGGTGAACAGTCAAATTATCTTTACGTGTGAAAACCGACGGACACTGTTCGCTTTTAAACATGTTGTTTAAGAAAAAAATAATATTTAAAAATAAATAAACAGCGAAATAAAAACTTAGAAAAAAATTATTTTAAAGACGGAGCAAGCGAAAAAATACGTGTACACCAGTTTAAGGCAATGACGGACTAAACGGCTACCGACTCCTTGGGTCAAGAGTCTCTATAATAGGTGGGGATATTTAAATGGATTTTGCCGGAATGTGATTGATTGAAAAGTCTACCAAAGAGTTCTAAGTATGCAGGTGCAAGCTATATATATATATATATATAAGTGATACCGGGAACATCAAATAAAGTAAAAATATTGACGGTGAAAAATAAAAGAATTTTACAAGCCCTGGGTTATCGATTAAAGCAAAATGCCTGAGAGTGATATTTTAGATATAAGTTCACAGTACGAAACGGATTCCAAAATAACAAAAATTGAATATCATTCATATACACCTTATACTACATAATTTAATAATAACGATGAAATACGTATTTCAATCCAGCAAACAGATGTTTATCCGTATCTTTACGAAAGCTTTATTTATTTAGAAGGAATGATTTCGGAAGCTGACAAAGTGAAACTATTTAATGACGGTTACTCTTATCTCTTCGAGCAAATACGATTGGAAATCAACGGGATAGAAGTGGATAGCACACGTGTTCTTGGATTCACGAGCTCGTTGAATGGTTACTTATCCGGTACACCAGACATCTATAATTGTTATGAAAATGCAGGCTGGAATTTTAAAAACGGAACATTATCAGCAAATGAAAAAGGTGAATTTAGTGCTTGTATTCCATTGAAATATTGGTTAGGTTTGTTTGAAGAATTAAAAAAAATATTGGTTAATTCTAGATTGGAATTAATAATAACTCCAAGTCATACTGATTTAAATGCGTTAAACTTTAAAAGTGGTATTGTTGCATCTACAGCCAAAGTTATTTTAAACAAAATAGTATGGAAGGTCCCACATATCCCTGTTGTACCCACTTCTTTTTATTAATTTTTCAATGAGAATGATACTTTTAACAGAAAAATTAAAAAAATTATAATAATCTAAAATGCAAAAAATATACAAAATTAGCCACGGTTGCACAGATATCTGTACAACCGAAGCTAACGTATTAACTTTATCCGAGCGTCACAAGTCGACCAGGGACGTTATTTGTAGAACTAAGGCACTATAGAACATGGGTATGCTACGCAGCCATTTTGCGACTCAATTATTAATATCGTTGATTGTTGGACACGAGTGTAATCGTTATTGCATAACTTTATAATATCATGTCCAGTCGTGCACTAAAAATAAAGGTCACGATTACCGGCGAACCGCCCGACCGCCACCTCCCCGTCAGTCGTGTCCGACCAACGGTGACGTGCCGTGCCGTACCGTAATTTATTTTGTATTACCATCTTCTCGTCTATAATTATACAAACTCATCACATACCATTAAACCAACGACATCATCCCGGAGCATGGACCAACATATTCAATATCCGAAGATTTCGTGAGTTGGCTATTAGCCATCTATTACATATTATTTATTTATTGTATATCATTATCAATTATCATATATTTACTGTTATGTCGGCTGTCAGCCACTTATATTCTTGTCATATTATTATTTAATATTTATATATAAACATTATTCCCCTACTGGTCGCAACCACCCCTAATAAGTGTGTACATTATCATTTGTTTTGTATGTAATATATTTAAATACGAAAAGTTCAAAATAATACACATTGTACTTAGTCAACCTTCATGTCCGATAATTAAACAGCGCCGAGCAACTCCCGCGATCTGTGATCAACGGCTGCTTACGTTACATTGATATTATATCAACAAGGATAAAATAAACGCGGGCAATTTCAAATGCACATTTCACATATTATTATCATGATTGAATATTCATTTCACGTTATTTTTCTTAGGCCATCGTTCTGTTTCTTTTCTAATTTCTATGTGGTATCGACTATCGTGTGGCTTATTAAATTGTATGTGCAGCTTGGAGATAAATATATTATTCACTTACATTATTCCAAATATAGTTATTATGGGAGTATGTACTGCTCCAAATTGTAGTAATTCCCGGAAAAACAAAATTAAATTGTTCCGTTTTCCTTGAGAAAAAACCAGAAAGGACAAATGGGTTCAAAATTGTAGGCGAGATAAGTGGATACCAACAACTCATTCAAAACTATGTGAAGTAATTATGTCTAAAATATAAATATTGAGTAGTTATTTATAATAAATAGGTAATAATGTACCAATTAATTTTCATAATTAATGTTAAAATTAATAATATAATATAACGAAGTAGGTATATAACAAAGTAGTCAATATTTTGAGTTAGTTAGTAGTTAATTATATTTTGTAATTTATTCCTGAAATAGTATAGTATAGTTAATTGTATTTAGTTAGATATCTACCTAATAACAAGCTATAATCATTACCTATAGTTGTATATTTTTTAATTTAGATCCACCTTCAAAAAAGTCAGTTAGAGTTGCATCGCCAGGATGGGATTGTCAAACTTAAACCTAATGCCATTCCATCTCTTTTTGATGTGCCAAATCCACCTGAGCTAGCCTTGACACCAATAGGAAATCTGTTTACAAGGTATTTAATATTCATACAAATAATTTTATAACTTTTTTAATCATTATGACACTATGCCATATGCATTTTGTGATTCATACAAAATATTGACAACTAACTTACAATATACTTGGCAAGTTATTACATACAAAAACCTAATACTTCAATATTAAATATTTCATAGAATATTGTGTTAAAAATAAGTTGTGATATTAACATAAGGGGATTCTTATGTTAAATAATAAACATTTAAGTTAATTGTATCTCAAATTGAATTACTAAAAAAGTTTATTCCCTCTTATAGGCTAAAATATTTGTTTGCAATTTTTGTGGTTTTCACTGTTTAAGGTTAGGTAAGTGACACTGAAAGTTCAGTTTTTCAGATCTTATGTTTTATCATCATCAATACTTACAAATTATAATAACCAATTTTTCAGAATACTGCAATTGAAACAACTAACATATCAACCACAACGAATGTAGGAAAAAAAGCCACCGAAAAAAACCCACGGGAAAAATATTACAAGGAAAAAAAAATCCACGAAAATAATAAGTCACGGAAAAAAAAACCAATTTATTTATATAAAAATTTAGTTACCTATATTCAGTATTAATTATATTTTGAATTATCTAAAAAAATTTTACAAAATTATATGTTACAGGTATATTATGTATAGTCATATTTTTACAAGTTAAAGAAAAAAAATACAACGGAAATATCAGTTGGTACCCAGCGATTCCGTTATAAGGAGGTTTTACTGTATTATATGTTGTATTACTCTATATGTAAATTTTAAGCCTAATGGGTGATGGGTAAAAATAAAAAAAATTAAAGCATCAAGGGAAGACGTTGGTTCCTTTAAAATCCAAATCAATGATGAGCGGTGATATGGGTTGCTTGGTTTACGCTTGAGAAGACGGGTGTTCTGCGTTCGTACACAATTGTAAGGATAAATTTTTTTTTTATTGAATAAAATTTTCACCGAGTGAGCGTGTCGAACCCGGGTCTATCAAGCCAGCAGCAGTAAGTCTTCCCACTGCGACACGGGGCCTCAATCAAAAAAATGTAAAACAAGGTTTATGGAGGTATAGTATAACTTAATATTAATTGTAGTTCATACTGCAACAGTGCGGCATGTAGGTACCTACATTAAAAAAAAAACCACCCTGTACATAGTAGATACGTTAAAAATAACTAGGTGCAAGACATAAATCATTCAATTCATTTCGAGTTAATATATAGTTTATCCACAAAGTATCATTTTATTTTGGTCCAATTGTGACATGTTGGAAATTTACTGAAGGAAATTCCCTTAAAACCGGTTTTGGGTAAAGATAGATTATATTTGTTAGATTGTTTCATAAATTTCTTTCAGTCTCACATATCCATCTCCAGAGATAGCATAAGTCTTATTTTTCAAAATTTAAATTTTTGTTAGTAATGATTGTAACAATAGAAATAATAAATTCTAATAAAAATAATAATAAATTATGTTATGAGGGTTATATGTACGTCCGAAAACATACAGGTAAAAGTCGTATTACGTGGCGTTACAGTAAAGCAACATGCTCAAAAATCCAGGGACCATTTACACAAATATTGAGAAATCAAAAATTCTTGAAAATTGGAACATCTCATATTATATACACATAGACCAAATACTAACGAAGTTAAGGTTAGCAAGTGTTACAATGCAATGAAAATTCAAGCCAAAACCACTAAAACTAATCCAGCTCACATTTTTGGAGAGTGTGTTACAAAATTAGATGACAAAAGTCAGATGCCACCTGAAAACATAGTCAAGCGTATACTGCGAAACCAAAGGACAAAAAATAACCCCTTAGACTCTGATGAAATAGTAGGTAAGTCATTAAAAAAATATGATTAAATATATATTATATATGTATATATAATATATATTTAAAAATTTAAAATAAAAAAATACAATATTTTCTTTAGATGAATGGTGTACAACAGTTGAGCCCCATAATAAAAGATTTTTATTGTTCGACGACTGTGTGAATATGGAAGACCGTTTGGTAATTTTTGCTACAGATGAAGGTCTTCAACATCTATCTAATAGTTCAACTTGGTATATGGATGGAAATTTTGGATTGGCCCCTAAAGAATTCCTTCAACTGTATGTGATAAGAGTCAAAGTACAAAAAACATTTTTAACGTCCATATCCTGTTTGTTGAAAAGTAAGAGTCAGAATACATATGAAAAAATGTTGACCAAAATTTTAGAAAAATGTTCTGAACGACATTTATATCCAGATCCAACAAGCTTTCATGTCGATTTCGAAAAATCTGTGATAAACGCAGTGAAATCTGTGTTAGGAGATCATGTGTGTATTAATGGTTGTTTTTATCATCTGACACAAAGTACACACAGAATGATACAAAAGCTGGGCCTAGAACAAATATACAAAACAAATGAAAGTTTTAGTGAGTTTTGTAGAAAACTGGATGGGTTGGCATTTTTACCTTTAGACATGGTTTAAGATGACATGGCTCATTTAAAGAGTATAATGCCAAACCATGCCAATGATTTAATTGAATACTTTGACAAAACTTACGTTAAAGGATCTTATAGACAGATAAGTGTTCCAGGAGACACTCATTTACGTTTAAGAAATTGGCCACCTCTTTTTCCTCCTGAACAATGGAATACTCATAATTTGACGTTAGCAGATAGTGATCGTACAAATAACTAAACCGAAGGTTGGAATAACCGTTTTTCTAGACTGGTCGGCCACAAGCATCCAAGTATTTGGGTGTTAATAACTAAAATGAGGTTAGAAATTGCTTCAGAGGAAATCAAGTTGGCAAAGCAAACTCCAGGATTATTAAGTGACAGAAGAAAATTAACACAATATGAAAAAAGCCAAAAAATATTGAAAAATCTCTGTTTGGAAATCAAAGAAGAAAAAAAAGCTTACCAGAATTTTTGACAGCAGTAGCACACACAATACGCTTTTATTGATTTTTTTTAAAATTTTTATTTGACTATTACCTTTATGTTTTTGTGTATGATTATAACTTGACTTTTGCATACATAATTTTTAACTGCAGTAGCACTACTTTGCATACTACTAGAATATTTTTGTATATAAACTTTGTAGGGGAGACCGGGGACAAAAGTAACATTTTTCACTTAACTATAAATTAAAAAAAAACTATTTGTAATTTTCAGATAAAACTATTTCTATTTGATAGAACAAGTTAATACCTTTCAAATGATATCATAATATCTTCATAAATTTAATTTAAACCTTAAGATATTTAAAAAACAAAAAAAAAATAAAAATGTTACTTTCGACCCCTTGCAAGTACCGAAAGTAACACGTATTGGGTACAAAAGTAACATGTATGGTAATAGTATAATAAAATTATTATAAACAAAATCAATTACATTAGCAATTTGGTACATATTATATTCAAACAAAATAAAAACAATACAATTGTTTAACTGAAAACTAAAACTTAAAAATATAAAATATTAATACCAGACTTGTGCTGAAGTAATGTATATCAATATAAAATATTCATAAACAAAAAATATATATAATGTACCTAATATTCAGTCTTGACGGTAAGAACTTATAAGAAAAGTCAACAAAACAATATATTTAAAATAAAATTATAGTAACCAACTTTCATGTGCTAGAACTTTCAATTAAGACACTGTATCCATTGTAAATTAATACAAAATATTATTCATAAACAACAAAAATAATTATATATAATAGGTAGTCAGTCTCGACAGTAAAAATTTGTAAGAAAATTAACAAAACAATATATTTAAAATCAAATTATATTAACCAACTTTCATGAGCCAGAACTTTCAATTAAGGCACTAACCATTTTAAATTAATACAAAATATTATTTTTATCAGTCCAAGTTTTTGGTACTTTTAAATTTAGTTTCAGAGAAAAATCAAAAGCTAATTTTCTAATAGCTATAGGAGATAGCCCAAAATACATGTCTGCTGAGTTTTTAATATAATCAGCAAGTTGATTTTCTTGAAATTTGTTGAACACTTTATTATGTGCTCGATATCCAAACACTGGTTTAGGACCACTTTTATTTTGATAAAGTTTCAATTTTTTTATATATCTACTTAGACTGACATGGCAAATATTTAAGCTTGCAGCTACTGACCGTATAGACTGATTTTCTTGTAAACAAATGTCTACTGCTTTTCTCATTTCACTGTCTGCAATTGTTCCTCTCTGGGTCATTCTTTTACGTGTACGTGGCATGTCTGTAAGCTATATTAGCAAAATACTCAAATAAATGAAAATGAATTCATAAGAAAAACATAGTAAAATAATATAAGCTAATGTTACTTCAGACCCCACAAAATGTGTTACTTTCAACCCCATACAGACATTTTTTCTTATGTAGATTAAAAAAGTATTAAACATACCTGATTCAACGTTTCTGACACTTGCAAAAGAAAAAGGACAACTTTTGGCAGATGTAAATGTATTAAGTGTTCTTCTAGTATTAAAATTGAATTTTAAAAAAAAGAAACTGTTAACAATTTTATTATCACTTTTGTATGGCGATATCAGTTTTTGTTCTTTTTGTGATAAGAAGAATGGGACTACGACAAAACAAATATGTACAAATATGCCCCGTATAATGGTGCAAATGATACACTACATACTGGTTTTAAATAATTATCATGGAATAAGAAATTGAGTATGTTACTTTCGTCCCGTGTTACTTTTGTCCCCGGTCTCCCCTACTATTTTACTATTTTATAACTAAAAACGTTTTAATGTTGAATAATAAACAATAACATAACCTTAGCGGCTTAGCTGTGTATCAACTACTTTATATTGTGTGCACGATCTAAGATAGTATATTATACAGTATGAACAACCATGTTAAACATTTAAAAAAAAAAATTATTTAAATATTATTTATTTATAATTATAAAATTTGGCTTTTTTTCGTGACTTATTTTTTACGTGGATTTTTTTCCGTGGCTTTTTTTTCTGACTTTCAACCACAACAACTATGTCGTCGAGTCAATCAGATGATTGTGTTAACATAACTGACAATTCTGTTGTAAGTAATGAACAATTTTAAAACTAGGTACTGCTTAAGTATATTAATTAAAATCAAAAATGACTTCTGTAACTAATTTCTATAAATTTTAAATTAGAATATTTTTTTTTAGTGTTGCTAAATTAATTTTTTCCTATTTATATGATTATAATTTTTATTACTTATCTTATTATCTGAAACAAATATTAAGTATTCAGATTTTGAGGTCTAATATTTTATCATCATCACACTCCCAATTGATGTAATGTTAATTTAAAGTGATACCGAAGTGATATTTATTAGACATATTTAATTCTTAAAAAAGTTATTTTAAGCTAGGTATTCGTTATTTTAAATTAAATAAATAATATTCATGCATTAGTTTATTATAAATTACTCATAATAAGTTTACTGTATGTATAAACCAATACCAAAAGCTGTAATATATATTCATATTTGTTTTGAAATAGAATGATGAAATTGCACGTCTTCAGATGAAAAACACAAATTTAAAAAACATAATTCAGGAAAAAGATGCTACATTACGTTATTTTCTCAATGATGATCTGGTTGCAGCTACCAAAAAAACTCGACGATAATGGTCAAAGGAAACAATCACTTGGATATTTTAGTACAGGATATTTTGTCCCAATACCAAATTCTACATTACTAAATTTACGAAAAACCATCAAATATCTATTTTGGTCTTTAAATTCCTTTGACTCGTGTGCGTGTCACGCTTATCGACAATCATCGGGAAAGTAAAGTGTTCCTGCTACATACGGAATTACAGAAATATCGAAATCATTGTTAGTTCAGTGTTCAGTGTATACTGTATATAGATAATTCCCATCACCTGTCCTCTAGTTTGCCATATTCTTAAATATTACATTTTATTTAGTCATTTAATTGTTTAGTTTCAAATATCATATTATATTCTATACTCTACAAAATATGGACAAAAAGAAACAAACCAAAATGCAATTATTTTTTAAAAATGTAAGTACCTACTTATAAATTATATTTTTGTGATATACCTACATGGCTATATATTATTATACTAAATTTTATAGTTTTAAATGGTACATATTATATATAAATTGCATATATTATTAGATGTCAAATGTCGATTCGAATTCAACAGAGGCATCCAGCTCCGGCACCGTAGAAAAAACCATATTGGAAGTTGATCACAATAACAAGACTATTGTTAATCATATTCCAGAAATGGTGGATATCGTTGGTGATCCTTTAGATCCAATTAACAGAATGCCAGCAAATAGATATGAAAGGTATGACAGAATAATAAAAGGTCCTTTTCAACCAGTTATTACATTTTCTAGGAGACAGATTGGGGTTTCAAATAGAAGTTTTCATGCTCTTTAGTATAAAGATTTTAATTGGCTAGAGTATAGTTCAGCTTTGGATGCTGCTTTTTGTTTTGCTTGTCGCTGTTTTAGCATGGACATAACATCACATAGAGGTCATTCCGATCCTGCCTTTATTAGTACTGGATTCAGAGGATGGAACATAGCTACAAAAAAATTCAAATTACATCAAATGTCATCTGTTCATATAAGTAGTGTTCAAACATTATCAGCATATTTAAAAAAAATTCCCATTGATGTACAACTAGAAAAGAAAAGAATAGAATGTATAAGTAAACAAGAAGAGAAAAAAATTAATAACCGTATAATTATGAAAAAAACTAATTGATATAATAATAACTATAGCAAAAGGTGGTCGTGCATTACGTGGTCATGATGAAAATTCAAAAAGTTTAGAAAAAGGTTTGTTTCTAGAAATTGTTGAACTTATTTCTAGGTATGATCCAGTAATGAAGGATCATTTAGAAAATGCTCCAAAAAATTCAAGCTATTTAAGTCCAGATATTCTAAATGATATTATCAAAAGTATTCAAAATGTTATGCTTCGTTCTATTATTTCATCGATAAAGTGCAAACCTGTGTCTATTATAGCTGATGAGACAACTGATTTAGGACACAATGAGCAACTTTCTCTTGTTATCAGATATTTTGATGAAGACACTTACATGCCTGTTGAACGCTTTATTGGTCTTCATAGAGTTGAAAAAGTTGATTCTCAATCAATATTTGATGAACTATCCAAAATGTTATCAAGTTTAACTATTGAGTGGAATAATATTACATCAGTTTGTTTTGATGGAGCGGCAGCCATTTCAGGCTCAATAGGTGGTGTTCAAAACAAAATTTAAAGAAATGAATTCTAGTATTATGTATGTACATTGTTACGCCCACTGCCTAAACTTAGTACTAGTTGATGCTTGTACGTCTTCTAAAAAATAATCGCGTAGTTTTTGAATTTTTTGGAGTAGAGCAACTAACATATGCTTTTATAGAAGGAAGTGCTGTACGTTACGCTATTCTTGAGAACATTTCTAAACAAATAAATGTTACATTGAAAACTATGAAGTCACGTCAATAACACGATGGGCATGTAGGGCAGAAGCCGTCAGTACTATAAAACATAATTATTTAGCACTGATTAAAGCCTTAGAAAAAATTACTTATTCAACAAAACAAACAGATGTTAATGCTAAAGGACGTGGATTATTATATCAACTTAAAAATTTTAATTTTATACT